GGGGTAAAGAGTTCTCGGATTTTGGAGCTGTTGAGGGGAAAATATGACCATAAGGTGGCAGTAGCCCATTTTATTTGGGCAGCTGTATTTGAGCAGCTCTTTGGGGGCAATGTGGTAGCAGCAGGGCAGGAAGTCTCGGGGTTAAGGGGTCTGAAGTGCAGTGGCAGTGTGGTCTTTCACAGTCCCGGGGTTTGTCTTATTTACAGCTAGCAGATGCTGGGTGTAGATTTGCCTGGTATGCAAAATAGGCCAGCTCTAGATGGCTAAAGATATGCTTATTTAAGCTATATTTAAAACAATTACATGTGTAAAAATTGGATTTCGTATTGTTGGGCTTCAGCTAACCATCTCCGCCTGCTGTGAAGAAGTAAACAACATGGGGGTCAATATACGGGGGACATCTCTGGTTCGTTTATATAACATCATGTAGATTTTTTCTTCATTCTATTAATGTGATACATACTGATTGATTTTTGTATGTTGAACCAGCCTTGCAATCCTGGGATAAATCCTATTTGGTCATGTTGTATGATCTTTTAATATAATGCTAAATTCAGTTTAATTATTTTTTGTTGAATTTACATATACATTCATAAGAGATATTTATTGGTCTGTGGTTCTCCTCTAGTGGTTTTGGATCTTGTATTGGGGTAATACTGGCCTCAAAAAATGAGTTAAGTAGTAGTTTCTCCTCTTCAGTTTTTTTTGGGAATTTTTTGAAAAAGATCTGGTGGAATTCACCAGTGAAGCCATCTGGTCCTGGGCCTTTCTGTGTTGGGAGATTTTTGATTACTGATTCAGTCTCCTGACTTGTTACAGCTGTTTCTTTTTGGGTCAGTTTTGGTAGTTTGTATGTTTCTTTTTTTTTTTTTTTTAAGATTTTTATTTATTTATTTGACACAGAGAGAGTGAGAGACAGAGAAAGCATAAGCAGGGGGAGTGGCAGGCAGGCAGAGGGAGAGGCAGGCTCTGTGCTGAGCAAGGAGCCCGATGTGGGACTCGATCCCAGGACCCTGGGATCATGACCTGAGCCGAAGGCAGACACTCAACGACTGAGCCACCCAGGCGCCCTAGTTTGTATGTTTCTAAGAATTTATTACATCTGGGTTATTCAGTTTGTTGGTTCATAGTATCCTGTTATCCTTTATTTCTATAAAGTCTGTAATAATTTCTCCTCTTCCATTTTATGATTTTAGTAGTAAGAACTCTTTTTTGTCCTCAGTCCATCTGCCTAAAGGTTTGGCAATTTTGTAGAGCATTTCAAGGCATCAGCTTTTGCTCTTAGTAACTTGCTGTTGTTTTTTTCTAGTTTGTATTTCATTTCCAGTTGAATATTTATTTCCTTCCTTCTGCTAGCTTTGGGTTTAGTTTGCTATTCTTTTTCTGGTTCCTAAGATGTAGAGTTTTATTATTGAATTAAGATTTTTTTTTTTAACATAAGCATTTAGAGCTATAAATTTCTCTCTGAGCACTGTTTTTGCTGCATTCCATAAATGTTATGGTGGGTTTTTTTCATTTGTGTTCAGGTATTTTCTAATTTTCCTTGTGATTTCTTTTTTGACCCATCGGTTGTTTAAGAGTGTGTTGTTAAATTTCCCACATATTTGTGAGTTTTCTGGCAACCCTTCTATTATGAATTTCCAGTTTTATTCCATTGTAGTTGGAAAGGATACTTTGTGTAAGTTCAGTCTTTCTAAGTGTATTCAGACTTTTCTTACAGCCTAATTTATGATCCTTCCTGGAGAACATAGGCTGTTCACTGGAGAAGATTGTGTATTCTGCTTTTGTTGGATGGAGTGGTCTGGTTGGTTTATAGTACTTTTCAAATCTTCTCTTTCCTTGTTGATCTTCTGCCTCTTTATTCTGTTACTGAAAATGGAGTGTTGAAGTCTGAAACTGAGCGTAGAATTGTGTCTTTCTCCCTTCCATTTTGCCAGTTTTGACTTTATGTATTTTGGGGCTGTCTTCCTGGATGCATATATGTTATACTTCTTTCATCTTCTTGATGGATTGATCCTTTCATCAATATATAATGTCCTTTTTGTCTCTTATAACAGTTTTGCCAGCCCAGCTCTCTCCGTTACTATTTACATGGGATATTTTTTTCATCCTTTTACTTTCACCTTTTTGTGTCTTTGTATCTAAGCAAGTCTCCTATAGGTGGCATACAAATGGATCATATTTTTTTTATCCATTTTGGGTTTTAATTGGAGAATTTGATCATTTACATTTGAAGTAGTTACTGATAAGGAATTTAGCTTAAGCTGCCACACAGCTGTTTGTTTTCTGCGTGTCGCATATTTCTTGTTCCTCAGTTCCTTTCACTGCCTTATTTTATAGTTGATCTTTTTGCGTATTTTGTATATTTCTGTATTTTTGTTGTTGTTTTTCTTCATGGCTACTTGGAGATTACATTTTCCATCTTAAATTTATAACCATCTAATTTGAGTAATCCCAATTTAGTGTTAGTAGCATACACACACTGCTGCCATGTGCCTCGCCTTCCCCCTTTCTTAATACTGTTATTGTCACAGATTACGCCTTTATTCATTGTTCCCATTAACATTGACTTATAATTTTGTTTTATTCATTTGCCTTTTAAATCATACAGGAAAAAAAGAATTACAAACCAAGAGTACACTGACACTGGCTTTTATATTTATGTAGTTATCTTTACCCTTGTTCTTTATTTCTTGATAGGATTTAAAAGTATTGTTTAGCATTCTTTCGTTTCAGCCTGAAGGGCTCCCTTTGGCATTTTTTGAAGGGTACTTGTACTTGTGTATCAGTCACAAACTCCCTTAACTTCCCTTTATCAGGGATGTCTTCATTTCTCCTTCCTTCTTGAAGAATGGTCTTGCCAGATACGAAATTTTTGGTTGACAGTATTTCTCACTCAGAGCTTTAAACATGTCATCTAATGGAGATAGGATTGTATAATTCATTTGTCGAAATCTTGTAAGCCCTCATCCTGACTTCAGCAGGTACAGTATCCTACTTTTTAATGGTTTCGGAGACATTTATTCAGAGCATGATTGCACAGGAATGACTTTTCTGGGGGGGTTGGTTGGTTTAGTGGGTTGGTTAAGCGTCCAACTCTTGATCTCAGCTCAGGTCTTGACCTCAGGGTCATTAGTTCAAGCTCCATATTGGGCTCTACGCTGAGAGTGGAGCTCACTTAAAAAAATTTTTTTTTTTCCTGGCATCTGAAATGATCCTTTAAACACCAAAACTTTTATCTTCACCTAAAATGTATTTATTTGACAGAGAGAGACACAGCGAGAGAGGGAACACAAGCAGGGGGAGTGGGGAGAGAGAGAAGCAGGCTTCCCACTGAGCAGGAAGCCCATGTGGGACCCTGGGACCTTGACCTGAGCCAAAGGCAGACGCTCAAAGACTGAGCCACCCAGGTGCCCTCCAGGTCTTTGAAGTAAGGCTTTGTACATTTGAGGAATCTGAATGCAGCTATTGATGCTTCCAGGGCCCAGCATCCAGGCTGTTCTGTTTCAGCTTACCACAGTGAATGTTTAATGCAGTAATGCACTTGGACCGTGAGTTACCTACTACTCTTTAGACTCAAATACTGAGGTTTTGAGTTTTCATCTTTATGTAATGGCTTTTCGGTCTCTTCTCTGTCAGGTATCACATGTACCTATTTTTATGCCTCCCCTCTTTAGCTAGGGCTAAGAAAATCAAATGACTGAATTTAAAATAGATAAAAATGAAGGTATTAATACTGTTTTCACATTTATTTTGCCTTCCAGACCAAAATATTTCTTCATGTAATTTCTTCATTGATCATATGGTATGATTTTTTTAGGTTTCTCAAAGAGCAAACTCCTGATAAAAAGGAGCCATCACCATATTGCCAGTGCTTTTAAGAAATAAAAGGCAAGGGGCGCCTGAGTGGCTCAGTCGGTTAAGCGTCTGCCTTTGGCTCAGGTCATGATCCCAGGGTCCTGGGATCGAGCCCCGCATCGGGCTCCCTGCTCTCTGGGAAGCCTGCTTCTGCCTCTCCCGCTTCCCCTGTTGTGTTCCCTCTCTCTGTGTCTCTCTGTGGAATGAATAAATAAAAATCTTTAAAAAAAAGAAAGAAAAGGCAAATCCAAGCTGTTTTTCAGATCAGCGGCTAATGCCAATGTTTAGGCTTCAGAGAGTATCAAAGAAAGGTACTTCTATTACTTCCCAGTTTTGTACTCTTAGAATGATAGTTTCCTAAAAAGGAATCCTTGCCAACTTTAAAGTGACCATACTGTCATTTTCAGAGGAATAGGGGTGTTCTGGGCACCTGCTGCTTTAAACCACAGCCATTTACCAATTAGATGTGCTCCCGAGTAAAATGTGACCAGCATTTACCTCAGGACCACATTCATGTGTGGCAAAGTTACCTACTTTATTCACTCTGACGTTGAGAGATTATTCTGCCTTATTTTGTCTGTAGTTCTGTGTGTATGTAAAACAAAACATTTTAACAGGCTTGGTGATGATGTCTAGGAAGCTAGATTTTGTGATGTACTTATTTTTTTATATAAAATCTTAAGCTATTTTATATTTCATTCACTTTATCTTGAAATTTGTAAGATTTTTTTAATGTTCAGAATGTCATCAATCAAACCTGAATTCTAAAATTCTGTGATTTTTGTGAAACCATTTCTTAGAAACTTTGTTAATGACGGGAAGTAAAGAGGGGCACCAGGGTGGGGTGACCCAGTCAGTTGCCTTCGGCTGGGGTCTTGATCTCGAGGTCCTGGGGTCGAGTCCCCTGTTGGTCCCTAATTTCCCGCTGGCCGCCCACTGGGCGAGGCCTTTCCACCCCTCGCCGCCCCCAGGCCCTACCGAGACCCGGCTACCCGCGCCAGCCGCCCTTCGCCCACCCCGTGCACTCCCGGGCCGGAGGTCCGGCTCCGGGGCACGCCCCAGGCCCCGGAGGGCAGGCGGAAGGGGTGCTGGACGTGGAGCATCATGGGCCCGGGGGGAGGGGCGGTGGCCCAGTTCTCGCGACACTTCGGCCGGGAGGGAGGCAGCAGCGGCTCCGCGGCGGGTGCGAGATGCGCTCAGAGAAGGAGGGAGTGGGAGGCTCCGGGGTGGCCGTTGCTGCGCGGGACCCGAGCGGGAGAGAAAAGCTGTCGGCTGGGGAAGTCCAGTTCCGCCGGGAGTCGCCGCGGCGAGAACCAGAGGTGCCACCCGCCTCGTCCTTCGGCTCTGGGGGCGGTACCGGCAAACCTCGCGAGGAGAAGAAGACGGTTCTGAGCAAGGTGGGGGGAAGGGCGGGGCAGACGAACCTCGCGAGAGGAGGAGGGTCTTCAACAGGGTGGGTCGAGGCGAGGACGGAGCGGTGCGTGCAAACGTCTCGAGAAGAGGGACGGTCTTGGGCGAGGTGAGGCGGGGCCGAGGGTTGGCGTCAGGCTGCAGGCGGAGGGGCGCTGAGGGTGGCGAGTTCCGGGGGCGGGCGAGCCTCGCGAGAAGAGGGATGGTCCTGCGCAAAGGCGGGGCGGGCTCGGGGTTTGGGGAGGGGCGGACGGGGCGAGGCCGCGGGCGGCGTGTTCTGGGAGCGCGGGGCCGGGGCCGGCCGCCTCAGCGCCGCCGACAGCGGCCCGGCGGGCGCCGTTTCCCGCCCCGCCTGGAGCCTGTGGTGTTTCCGGTCGGGGCCGAGCGCGGAGACGCTGCGGTCCGCGGCGGCGGGCGCCCGCGCGGGCGTGTGAGGTTTGCGTTTTCCACTCGGGCACGGACAGTACGGGTCGTGCCCACAGTCGTCGGGGTTCCCGAGAAAGGAGCTGTGTTGGGCGCAGCCCCTTCTGACGGCCGCGCTGTCACCCGTGCATGGCGGGCGTTTCCGCTGGGCTCCTGGCGTAGCGCTCCCTCAGCCTAAACGCGGGCGGCGTTCGGGGGGCGGAAGCGCTGGGGCGGACGCCGGGCCCACCGTCCGTCCTCTCCTCAGGTGGTGATCCGGCGGCTCCCTCCCAGCCTCACCAAGGAGCAGCTGGAGCAGCAGCTGCACCCGCTGCCCGCGCACGACTACTTTGAGTTCTTCACCGCCGACCTGAGGTGAGAAGCTGGGAGGCCTGTCGCTCGATGGGAGGTGGTTGTAGACCGCGGAAGCCGCCTCCGTCCTTTTCCCGCACGGACCCAGAAATCAGCGCGCGCCTCGCTTGGACACGGTCGTTAAATTCCTCCGAGAGAGAGTTGAAAGGGGCCGGTACCGGCGCCCCATCGTCCAGAAAGACCGACTCCGGAGAGGGAAACCGAATCCAGCCCTCAGAAACCCTGTGCTTGCGTCCCCCGCTACCACCCCCGCCCACACCCACCAGCTCCTCCTCTCCTCCCCTTTCACACCTGGGTAGAAGGGTGCCTCCGAGGACGCTCTGACACGTCCACGTCTTCTCTTTGTGGACGAGGAGAAAGCAGACCTCAGGTTAGACCTTCCGCAGGACAGGTCAGCCACGTTGGTGATTTTCACTGTGTTTCTGCTGCCCTCTTGGTCATTGTTAGCCTTTTTGTCTTCAGTGTCGTGAGTTGGCGTTTGTGGGAGCCCTGTCAACCCTCCTGAATAAATACTGTTCAAGTAAAAACTTTCGGTCTATTTAAAGAAAAATATTTCCAACGGAAATGCAGATTTGGTTTAAGAGAAATAATAGGTGAATTTCAAATGACTAAAGTTTAAGAAAACGGGCATAAGAAAGGACAGGCCCTGGGCTCAGGGATTCAGGTTGGAATCCCAGTCCCACTTTTTAACTAGCTGTACCTTTGGCACATACTGAATTTCTCTGAGCCTGTGTTCTCATCTGTGAAATGGGGTTGAGAGTTCCTGCCTATTAAGGAAGTTGGTGGTTTGCTGGGAGAGGAGAAAGGCTTGGTTCTTCTGTAGCCCTCGTACCATGTGCTGCAATTAATACCCCTTTGGAGTACGTAAAGGTGTTCTCTAAGTCTGAAGATTCTTTCGTGCAATATGATGTTTTCATTTATGAATCATGGCTAGATTTTACTGGGTCATGATGTGTGATAAGCAATGACCTTTGAATAACCTTGCCTTTGGTTTTCGACTTCGGAAGGCCAGTATTACAACCCTGTTTCTGTGTGGTAGAGAGACTGACCTTAAGTGTCTTCCCCAAGTTATTAAAAAGATCTTGGGTACTGTTTTGTTTATTTTGGGGTTTGGGGTTTTTTTTGCTAAAGAATACCCAGATTGTTGTAATTAGCTGAGAGGTGTTCTTTGGCACACAGGTTTCAGCTTGTTGTATCTAGAAAAGAAGAAAAAGCAAAATTAAAGAAATCTTGCATTTTTTACTAACCATTTTCACTGTTATCTCTTATTTCAGTCTTTATCCTCATCTTTATTCAAGAGCATACATTAATTTTAGAAATCCTGATGACATCCTTCTTTTTAGAGATCGTTTTGATGGCTGTATCTTCATTGACAGTAAAGGTTGGATCATTGGCTTTTTAAACTATTATAATCTCAAAGTATGTTAATTAAATTTTGCTGGAATGTTTGTGAATTATAATTAAGTTCTCAGATACCAATCTAAAATAATTTCATAAATTTCAGTTGTGTTACTGTGGTTGTGTGCTTATGTTGAAAATTAAAATTATATATAAACCAAAGAGTTCCATCAATTCTTTGTATCAGTGACAAACTATTTATATATTATTGGAGTGAAGTTTTTAATATAAATGAGTTTTCTGATAATTGAACTTCCCTTTCTTATGTACCAAAACCAAATCACTTTACTTTTGTGCAATAGGAATTTTCTAAAATATATTATTCACTTATATCTATGTCTTTTTAAACAGTGTACTCTTTATATTTTGGCTCAGGTCACAATCTCAGCATCGGCTCCTTCTTCACTCACTGGGGAGTCTGCTTAAGATTCTCTCTCTCTCCCTCTGCCCTTTGTCCCTCACTAAAATAAGTAAATAAATTAAGATTTTATTTATTTGACAGAGAGAGAAAGAGCGCGAGCAGGGGAAGTGGCAGGCAGAGGGAGAGGGAGAAGCAGGCTCCCCACTGAGCAGAGAGCCCGATGGGGAACTCAATCCCAGGACCCTGGGATCATGACCTGAGCTGAAGGCAGAGGCTTAACCTACTGAGCCATCCAGCACCCCTAAATTAAGTAAATACATCTTGGAAAAAAAAAAAAAAAGAAGAAGAATGTTAAACAGAGTACTCTTCATAACTATACCATTTTTGGACAGTGTCATAGGGGAGGGGATTGTAATAATGAACATAAGTTTCTGACTCTGTTGAACAGCATTGCCTGCTGAGACAGGGATATTTACCTCTACTCTAAATGGTTCCGATTCTCTGTACTTTTTGGATCTTGCCTTTGTCCTCCCTCCTGTCAGACTGTCAGCTGTTGTGTCCACTGCGATCAAGCTGGTACAACTGTAAGAGCATATTCTCTGAATACCCCTCACTAACCAACCTCCTCCCACTCCACTCCACTGCTGCTAAGTGTGTTTTTTTCTTCACTGAGAGCTAACAAAATATCCTTGAAGAGTGACTAGGCTGAGGCCAAGAAATTCTTTCCTGTGAAGAAAAGCAAATGTAATCTTGAACTATTTTTAAGATTTTATTTTTTTAAGAGAGAGCACACATGCGTGAGGGGAGGAGCAAAAAGGGAGGGAGAGGGACAAGCAGTGCCGAGGCCAACGCCTCAATCCCACGACCCTGAGATCGTGACCTGAGCCCAAACCAGGAGTCAGATGCTTCAGATGCTCAACTGACTGAGCCACCCAGGCGTCCCTCATCTTAGTCTTTTCTAAGCATACAGTTCAGTAGTATTAAGTACATTCACACTGTTGTGCACCCCATCTCCAGAACTCTTTTCATCTTACAAAACTAAAACTCTGGACTCTTTAAATAACTCCCATTTCTCCCTGACCCCTAGCTCCTGGCATTCACCTTTCTATTTTTTGTTTCTATGAATTTACTAGTCTAGGTACCTCATCTAAGTGGAATCGTACAGTATTTCACATGGCATGGTGTCCTCAATGTTCACCCGTGCGGTAGCAGGTCTCAGAATTTCCTTTTTAAGACTAATACGCTACTGTGTGTATATACCACATTTTGTTTATCCATTTACAAAGAGCTGGGTTGCTTCCAGCTCTTTGCTATTGTGAATAGTGCTGGTGTGAACATGAGTGTACAAGTATCTCTTTGAGACTCTGCTTTCAATTTTTTGGGGTATAATCATAGCAGAATTGTTAGATCATGTAGTAATTATATTTTTAATGTTTTGAGGAACTGCCATACTGTTTTCCGTAGAAGGTACTTCATTTTGTATCCCCACCACCTGGGCATGAGGCCTCCCAATTTCTCCACATCCTCCCAACACTTGTCGTTTCCTGTTTCTTTGATAGCAGACATTCTAATGGGTATGAGGTAGTATTTCACTGTGATTTTGACTTATATTTCCCTAATGCTTAGTGATGTTAAGCATCTTTGTGTGCTTGTTGGCCATTTGTGTGTCTTTGGAGGAATGCCCATGTTTAAATTGAGTTGTTTTTTGTTAAGTTGTAGATTTTTTTATATATATATGTGTATTATGGCTCTTAACCCCTCATCAGATGTATGACTTTTTCCCATTCCATAGGTAGCCTTTATATTCTGTTGATTGTATTCTGTGACACTCAGGTATTTTTAATGTGATGTGGTCTGGTTTTTCTGTTTTTATTTTAGTTGTCTGTACTTTTGGTGTCACATCTAAGAAATCATTGCCAAATCCAATGTCAAGTTTTTCCTCCATGTTTTCTGCCAGAGTTTTATAGTTTTAGGTCTCATGTTTAGGTGTTTGATCCATTTTGAGTCAACTTTTGTCTGTGGTATCTGATAAGAGTCCAGCTTCAGGGACGCCTGGGTGGCTCAGTTGGTTAAGCATCTGCCTTCAGCTCAGGTCATGATCTCAGGGTCCTGGGATCGAGTCCCGCGTCAGGCTCCTTACTCAGCAGGAAGCCTGCTTCTCCCTCTGCCTGCCGCTCCCCCTGCTTGTGCTTTCTCTCTCTCTCTCTCTGACAAATAAATAAAATCTTTAAAAAAAAAAAAAAAGAGAGAGAGTCCAGCTTCATCCTTTTGCATGTGGATATCCAGTATTTCCAGCAGTTTTTTTTTTTTTTTGAGGTTCTATTTATTAGAGAGAGAGCGAGAGAGAGCATGAGCAATGTGAAGGGCAGAGGGAGAAGCAGACTCCCCACTGAGCAGGGAGCCTGATGCAGGGCCCGATCCCTGGACTCTGGGATCATGACCTGAGCTGAAGGCCGACACTTAACCAACTGAGCCACCCAGGTGCCCTTAGCAGTATTTGTTCAAGAAGACTGTCCTTTCCCCATTGAAAAGTCTCGGCACCCTCATGGAAAACCATCTGATCATGTATGTGATGGTTTATTTCTGGCTGTCTGTTCTAGTCCATCGGTCTGTGTTTCTTTTTTTATGCCAGTACCATACTGTTTTGATTACCATCGCTTCATAAGAAGTTTTGAAATCAGGAAGTGTGTCAACTCCTACTTAGTAAGTATCTATGTACCAGGCATGTGGGTGCAGCAGTGAATTAGACATTGTTCCTGCCTGTCCAAAGCCCTGCTCTTCTTCTGGTTCTTGACTTTATTCCAGATAGTTAAAGTTAGCACAGAAATACTGTCCAGATAAATAAGAGTTGCAGATAAAGAATGGTCACCTGACCATTCCTGACAAGGCTAAAGGATTCAGTACCAACATGGAAGTGTTCATCAGTTGATTAAGTAAATAGTGAACGTTTCTCAGTATGTTCCTGCCCCCCACTCCCAACCCCCCCCACCCCGCACATAATGACTGAATCAGTTTCTCGTGGCTTTTGTTCTAAACTTTTCTGTTTGAAGCCAACCCTGTCTGAGTATTGTGCATGCCTTCTGAGGCCCCTCTTTTAGCCAAGTGTCTCTTCTAAGCATACTAATTCCCTTGAACTCATATAACAGATTGATCATTAAAACAACCTTTTAAAATTAAAAAAAAAAAAATGGGACTAAGGAACCTATTTAAAGGTATTCCGTGATAAACTCTTCAGTGAGGGAGAGAAGGGTTTATTGACATTTTAAGGTGTGCATCTTGATGAATTTTGAATGCATTCAGTTATGTAGCTACTACTGCAACATGAGAAATCATTTTCTTTAAGTGCTCGTCCTTTGTTCAGATCTGGAGTTTGACATGCTAAGTTTGCAGGTGCTTGAAAATAATAGTTTAAATGGTAATGTTATGGTCAATCTTTAAGAAACCTAGATCATGGGGCACCTCAGTCGGTTGAGCAACTCACTCTTGATTTTGGCTCAGGTCGTGATCTCAGGGTCACGGGATTGATCCCCGCTGGGGCTCTGCTGGGTGTGGAGCTTGCTTAAGACTCTCTCTCCCTCTCCCTCTGCCTCTCCCCCTACAAAGAGAAAGAAAAAAAGAAAGCTAAATCATTATTTTCCAAAATGAATATAGTGGAATTTTAGAATGGTTTTTGCAATTTGTTTTCTGTTAAAGGCCTAGAATATCCTGCAGTGGTAGAGTTTGCCCCATTCCAGAAGATAGCCAAAAAGAAACTAAAGAAAAAAGATGCCAAAACTGGAAGCATCGAAGACGGTGAGTCCCTTTACAGAGGCTAGATTATGAAACTGCCAAATTAAATACACCGATCAAATATAATTCCTCTCCCATATGTGGGGAGGAGCATGTTTTTCTTTTTTTCTTTTTTAATTTACAGATCCAGAATATAAGAAGTTTTTGGAAACTTACTGTGTGGAGGAAGAGAAACCTAATGCCAATCCCGAAACTCTTCTGGGAGACATAGAGGCAAAGACAAGAGAACTTATTGGTCTGTTTGCTTATTTCTTCTCTTTACTTGATTGAGATATGTATTTGTTTCTCTTTTACGATTATTTAAAAATTCACACTTGTGACAGGCTTAGCAGGGATGTAGAGTGTTTTCCAGTTGTAACAAAAATATGGCAACCGAGCTTTTGGTTACAGTTATTTGTTCACAGTAGCTGATTTAATGTGTAGCTCAGAGAATTTTTTAATCACTAAAGTAAATATTTATAAAGATGTGCTTAGCAAGCATGTGCTCATTTTTGATCTGCACACGTTGAGTGGGTACCAACTCAGCCTAGGTGTGTGGAGTGAACATGAATGGGACACGTGAGGCCTCTGCTGTCATGTATCTGTCCTGCTCGTGGGGAAGACTGTAGTAAACACCTGCAACAATAATCAGGCTTTAAGCCAGGGCATGTCTATGTGATCAGTGGCACAATATGATGAAACAGTCCTGGGAGGGCAAGGCCCTCTGAGAGCAGGCGTGCTAAGACATGGAAGAAGAAGGGACTAGAGACAAGAGCTGGAAGCTGAGCTGTGGGCCTGTAGGAACAGGATGTATGCCTGTGTGGTTGGTACATGGTGGGCCCGGGGCAGAGTGGCTGGAGAGGCAGGTGGGTAAGAGGTTTGGAGTTTGTTTGAGAGAAAGCTGGAGACCGCTGAGGGAGTGATGTGGCCTGATTAGTTTTCCTCATCACTCCATGCACATTGCTCTGTACACGATGGATTGCTAGCTGCAGAGTCCGCATATGCTCTGGCAGATTGGGTGTGGGAAGAAAGGAAACAAAGAATCCAGGCCTCCAGGAGTTTGACTCAAACAGATCAATGAGTGGAGGCACCATTACTGACGTGGGGCAGACTGGGGAAGAAACATTACTGGAAGCGAATTGAGATCCACTGTAGAACATGTTAAATTTAAGAAGAGCTAAAAAAGGAAGCAAATGAGAAATTATTTGTAGGACTTGCCCCCTGCCCCCTTCCCTCTTTGCTGTAAATGCTCTTGTACTGGATAGCCACAGAAAAGGACCAGGGTCTTCCACTTGTGGGCAGTTTTGAGATAGTCCTTGGTGGCCAGACACACACCATCCAGCTGGCTCCAGCCACCCTCCCACACCAGAGGGACATCCTCTCCCATCCCAGCCCCTTGCCCGGTATCTGGTGCACAGTAGGTGCATTGTAGTGTTTTATGGAATGAGTAAGTGTGATTCACAATCTAGTAGCCCGGGATGAGGCTGTGGAGCTTTGTTTCTGTGATCCAGTTTCTGCCCATCTAAGTTTGGATCTTAAAAGCAAGTTGCCTTTTTCTTTTCTTAGATTTTGGCCTTTAGTGGATTCTATGATCTAGTCTGAGCAATGAGGGTTAAATGGAAATATTAATTCCCTCTATAGTTGCAGGTTAGTGCAGTGGCATAGCAGGGTCTGTAGAGCAGACAGACCTGGGCTCAGCTTCCACCCCTGAGACTTAGCATCCCTGTTTCCTCCCAGGTGGTTGTGACAGTGCCCAGGATGCAGCAGCTGTCTGTAAGTGGTAACAGGCTGTTGGTGAAATTCGTGTTACATTACATGGCCATGCACCTTCTGTTTAACAAATGATACACTTTTATGGTTTGTAAAGTACTTTCTTTCTTTTTTTTTTTTTTTTTTTAAAGATTTTATTTATTTGAGAGAGAGAGCACAAACAGAGGGAGAGAGAGGGAGAAGCAGGCTCCCTGCTGAGCGAGGAGCCCGATGTGGGACTCGATCCCAGGACCCTGGGATCATGACCCGGGCCAAAGGCAGCCACTTAACCGACTGAGCCACCCAGGCGTCCCTGTAAAGCACTTTCTAATACAGGGTCTCATTTACCTTTCACATTGATCCTTTGGGGTAACGAGGCAGGTATTTTGTTGGAGAAGAGAGAAGGTGGGTGGGGTCTTGTCAGCTCCTCCACCCACCCAGGGAGGTCTTGATCCTGCTCTTTGCTCACTAGTGCAAAACTCCCACGGTGCAGAGCAAGAGTCCTCCCTAATTTGAGGCAACTGCCTGTTACAGAGGGCATCAGCTGTGCTCATCCTGAGCCAGAGTTCATGATTAACATAGGAGCCACCCAGGGAGGGAATGGGCTCTTCTTGGCCCCTGCACCTGTGAGGAAATGGGCACATTTGCCCAGCCCTAAATCTGGGGCTGAGCTTTCCTGGCAGAAGCCATTTGACACATTATGTCGGGGTGTTCAGGAGTCCTTAATTCCAAATTAAGAATCCCTGCCAGGGGCTCTCTTCTAAAATTCCTGATTCTCAGAATTCGGGAAATGTCATGGCCAGTCTTCAAGTGCGTCCAGGGATTCTTCCTTCCCCCCATTTAATCTTAGGTTTTGAAAGAGCTGTGGAATAGATCCACACCATCTTCCACTTTCCCCCCTGCATCGTCAGCCACTGACATGGGGAATACATATTTCTTAGAACCAGTCCCCCTGAGAGGCTGCCTTGAGGCCTGCCATATTTGGGCACCAAATTCCAGGTCAGATCAGACACTTCTGGGGCATGAAAGCTGAGGATTGAGTTTAAGTTTACAGAGAGGTTCATTCCTGGGTGGTTAGTGCTGCTTAGATGAAGTGCCCTGTGGGGTCATTGTCTAAACTTTTACATCAGGTTATTCTGGTTTGTGGAGTGTATGTGATAAGAAATTACAAGAATCTACATTGTTTAACATCATTGTCTAGAGAGCAGAAAAGGAAGAAATTTCCAGAATATGTGTTGAATCAAAGTGAATCTATAACAGTGTTATGTAATGTTTTAAAATATCTGCAAAAATGGGAAGATACTCATAACGTTCAGGAAGTCTAATGTGTCGTACTCACTTTTCTTTTTTGCTTTTATAGCTGCTTTGTAATATGAAGACTCCCTTGAGAATCAGGAATTCATTGCCTACTATTTGTAGAGTTGTCAGTGCCTCCAAATTACTTGACTTTATAGTGATGGAATAGGAACTCCCCCAAATACAATGTATGCTCATCTAAGTTTTGTGTATTTATTTATTTGTAAGATTTTATTTTTAAGTAATCTCTACACCCAGTGTGGGGCTTGAATTTACAACCCCAAGATCAAGAGTTGCATGCTCTTCCGACTTTGCCAGCCAAATTATTTAAGATTAAATTGGAAACAAGTATTTGAAATGAAGGAAAGAAATCTTATTTTAGAGTTAAATACTACATTACAATTTTTGTGTTTTAGCTAGAAGAACCACACCTCTTTTGGAATATATTAGAAATAGAAAATTAGAGAAGCAGGTAGGTTTGCCCTTTTACCTGATGAGTATCCTTCCTGTCCCTCCCACGTCCACACAGATAATTTATACACATGCTTTTCCATGTCTCTAGAGGATTCGAGAAGAGAAGCGAGAAGAGCGAAGGAGAAAGGAGCTGGAGAAGAAGCGTTTACGGGAAGAAGAAAAGAGAAAGAAGAGAGAAGAGGAGAAGTGTAAGAGGAAAGAGGCAGACAGACAGAAGAGAGCTGCTGAGAGAGAAGTAAGGATTAAGGTAATTTTGAGGAGACAGTTCATGTCTTTTTTCCAAAGCTAGTTCTGCTATAGTCGTGCCTTTTACGTATTTAGCTCTTCCAACTTGTAAGGACATTTTTAGTTAGCCTAGTCTTTTGTTATTATGGTTCCCTTTCTCTGCAGTGCAGCAGGGGTTCTCAAACTGTGTTCCCTGATCCCTGGGGGTTCCTTGGGCATACTGTGGGGGAGGGGGCCCAGCCTCCTGGGTGTGATGGCAGCACTTCACCCAGAGGAACCCCACACTACTTGTCACAGATTGGGCTTCTGCTTACATTTTCCTTTAGAGAAAAGACTCCCTGACTAAAATATACACATTTAGAAACCAGTGGCTTGGTGTATACTGGCCTTTCTAGATGAAGGCTCACTCCTGGAACTGGGTTTTACCATTTTTTTTTTACAGTAGCAGCAGTGGTTTCTAAATCTCTTGCCCAGTTTCTCCTTTGAGTGATGTATTCATTTAGAAGGGTGGGTTAATGCACAGAAGGAGTTCTTCCCCGTGTAAAATAGGGTGCTCCAGTGTGAGTCAGTCCTTCCTTGTTAGTATCTGTTCGGATGACCTTATCAAACCTAGATTTCAACCTCATATGTATCTTCCCTCATTCCATGAAGGCTTTGAAGTTCTTTTAGAGATTAATTGAAATTGTATCATAAAAAAAAAAAGATCAGGATTTGGAGGAAGACAGAGTAGAAAGGGAGAGGATGGGGAAGAGGTCAGAGCCGCCATAATTGAGCCATAGACTAGTTTCTTTATATATATGTATATTTTTAATTTAAATTGAATTAATTAACATATAGTAAATTATTAGTTTCAGAGGTAGAGTTCAGTGACTCGTCAGTCTACGTAATACCCAATGCTCATTGCATCACGTGTCCTCCTTAATGCCCATCACCCAGCCACCCCATCCCCCCACCCCCCCCGCCTCCAGCAATTGTCAGTTTGTTTCCTGTGGTTAAGAGTCTCTTACAGTTTGTCTCCCTCTCTGATTTCATCTTTATTTTATTTTTCCCTCCCTTCCCCTATGATCCTCTGTTTTGTTTCTTAAAGTCCACATATCAGTGAGATCATATGATAATTGCTTTTCTCTGATTGACTTATTTCACTTAGCATAATACCCTCTAGTTCCATCCACGTTGTTGCAGATGGCAAGATTTCGTTCTTTTTGATGGCTGCGTAATATTCTATTGTGTATACATACCACATCTTTATCCATCATAGATTAGTTTCTGATATGCTTGATCAGAAACATAGTTTCATTATCCATGTGGAGAAAACATTGCATTTCTTCAAGGGAGGCAAAGCTTTTTCTAGGCCTTTACTTCTAAATCACTTTCTCCTTATAGGTGGTCACATGGGGCTCACTAGCTGGAGGGAACAATTTCTTAACAAAATTCCTATAAAAACACACTACTGTGTGTATCCATCAGGCCTGGCTGGGTTTGCTGCAGTAACAGATAGCCTCACACCTCACCAGTTCACATAACTAGAGTCTGTTGTTGGTATTCCATGGCCATTGTACGCTGCTCACCATTGCCATCCAGTGACCCATTGATGGAGGCTTCACCTTGGCATTTGCTTCCTCATTCCTTATGATGGGGAGGGGAATGTGTGATACAGAAGATTGCATGCTGGTTCTTTTTTTTTTTTTTTTTAAGATTTTATTTATTTATTTGACAGAGAGAGACAGCGAGAGAGGGAACACAAGCAGGGGGAGTGGGAGAGGGAGAAGCAGGCTCCCCGCTGAGCAGGGAGCCCGATGTGGGGCTCGATCCCAGGACCCTGAGATCATGACCTGAGCCGAAGGCAGACGCTTAACGACTGAGCCACCCAGGCGCCCTGCATGCTGGTTCTTAAACCACATGGAAGAGACACAGCCCTTCTGCCCACATTGCACTGGCCAGAGCAAGCCACATGGTGGCACCTAATCTCAGATGGGGGTCATATTCAAGAAGTGCCAGGAAGAGAACCAGAAATGTCTCTCTTTAAGTTTAAAGACATTGTTGAAAACCTTATCTTGATAAAAGGTGTGGGGCAGGTCACATTCCTTGAGCACATTTGCTGTGAAGACCAAATCTAGATGTTCAAGATGAGTAGGGAACTGATTGTCCCACAGAAAGTATCTTATAATCTGATGATAACATTGATGAGATTGAGGAACCCAACCAAGACTATCAAAGATGGTCCATCCCCTGTCAGCAAGGACATGACAAAACCAGGGTATTCCTAGGGGAAATAACTGAGGGCATGTTTTCCGTTTGTCCACGTGGTTTAGTGAACACACAACTCTCCCAAGAAAATTGTAGCAGATTTACTTCCTGTAACAAACCTGACATCTCCAACGGCATAAATTAACAGCCCTCGAAAGGTAACTGATAATGAAACCTTAATATTGTAGGGAAACCTTAAACATGAATTGTGGTAGAAATTCAGCTGTCATTACCGGGCTCAGAGTAGGTGTTTGCATTTAATGCAGATTTTATGGTCACAGATGGAAATATTGCCTAATCTTCTCATTGACCTTTCTAAACACATAATAGCCAACTTACTGCCTAATCTTTACATTCTCAAAAGCACTTTTTTCAGTAGCTTGAGAGTTTTTCAGGAATAATGTTTGAAACCTGTAGCTTACAATTTCAATTATAGTTTTAAGTAAGACTTAAAGTATTTGGAGTATAGCATTTCACTTTTACATTTTAAATTTTGAAATTAGAGTCCAAAATAAACCAAAGAAATAAAAACAAAATTAGGTCAGTAAAAATAAACGTATGCTCTTTCATATAGAAAAGAAGTCAAAACATAAAGGAAGAGAAAGGGTATTTTTTTTTTTTTAAAGATTTTATTTGAGAGAGAATGAGAGACAGAGAGCATGAGAAGCAGACTCCCTGCTGAGCAGGGAACCCGATGCGGGACTCAATCTCGGGACTCCAGGATCATGACCTGAGCCAACGGCAGTCACTTAACCAACTGAGCCACCCAGGCACCCCGAGAAAGGGTATTCTTATCCAAATCTGGTAACAGGATCTTGGTTGCAGAGTAGACCCCTATGACATGGGTAATCAGCAGTCTCTGCCCTTACGAGTGTCTGTGTCCTGACCTGAGGACACACACCCCAGCCCAAGTTTTGCCCTAAGTGAGCATCTGGCCTCATTTTAGGGATATCTGATTTACAAATCATTTGGAGGGGCGCCTGGGTGGCTCAGTCGTTAAGCGTCTGCCTTTGGCTCAGGTCATGATCCCAGGGTCCTGGGATCGAGCCCCACATCGGGCTCCCTGCTCGGTGGGAAGCCTGCTTCTCCCTCTCCCCACTCCCCCTGCTTGTGTTCCCTCTCTCGCTGTCTCTCTCTGTCAAATAAATAAATAAAATCTTTAAAAAAGAAAAAAACAAATCATTTGGAGAATTAAAATTTTTTTAACCTGAAAAATAAAATCAGTGAAGAAATGCTAAAAGAGTTGTGTTACTATCATAAAAATACACGTGCAGAAAGAGATCCTCATGGCTATTTTTTTTTTTTTTTAAGATTTTATTTATTTGACAGAGAGAGGCACACGACGAGAGAGGGAACACAAGCAGGGGGAGTGGGAGAGGGAGAAGCAGGCTTTCCTGCCGATCAGGGAGCCCGATGCGGGGCTCGATCCCAGGACCCTGGGATCATGACCTGCCTGAGCCGAAGGCTCTTAATGACTGAGCCACCCAGGCGCCCCCTCATGGCTATTTTTAACAATAAAAACTATGATATAAGAGCAACCCAGCTGTTTTTATTTTCCTCTGAGGACCCTAAAACTAGGTAATGAGCTTGCGTTGAAGTAGGAAGTTAGGAAAATTCCTGAATATACAAATTGTAGGCAATAGATTACATTCTTAACAAAGTTGTGTGATCTTTTTCACAAAGCTTATTAAAAACGTGTCGGCTGGCACTTCCTTCTGCTGCCTCCTGTGCCTGGCTCCTCCCCCCTTCCCCCTCCCTCCCTCTCACCTCCTCCCCCCCTTCCCCCTCCCTCCCTCTTCCCTGCCCCCTCCCTGTCTCCTCCCTCCCTATCTCTTCCTCCCTTTGCCAATCTGATCTCACCCTAGGCCTCTGCTTGCTTCCTTCCACAGGGAGCTTTCTCCCATGACTTATGTCTTCTCGTAAGTGTTTCCTCATCATGTTTTATCTCCACAGAGAGACCCTCCCTGAACCCCTTGAGAAGCCATCACTCTTTACCCCACATCTCTTGTCTGTCCGTTTTTTCTGTTTTAGTAGGTGTTTAGCATTTCTTCCCCCTCCCTCCCTCTTCCCTGCCCCCTCCCTGTCTCCTCCCTCCCTATCTCTTCCTCCCTTTGCTAATCTGATCTCACCCTAGGCCTCTGCTTGCTTCCTTCCACAGGGAGCTTTCTCCCATGACTTATGTCTTCTCATAAGTGTTTCCTCATCATGTTTTATCTCCACAGAGAGACCCTCCCTGAACCCCTTGAGAAGCCATCACTCTTTACCCCACATCTCTTGTCTGTCCGTTTTTTCTGTTTTAGTAGGTGTTTAGCATTTCATGACACCTAAGATTATCTGGTTCACTTTTTCTATTTTGTCACTGCTTACTCCCCTTCCCCGCCCCCCATGGCCACCACTGCCTCAGCTAGAATGTCCTGTGAATGCCTTCATTGTGGGCACTTGTCTCTCATTCACAACTATATTCCTAGCACCTGACACAGAGTCTTTTTTTCCCCCGGTTCCTGGCACGTAGCTCCTAAAATCCTTGCAGGCTCTGGAGTGGTAAGAGTGTCTATATGCCAGTGAGGTGACAGGTGGCTAAGGCCATGGGTAGCTTCAGGCATCTGAAATGGGGACAGTTTTGTGCAATCTGACATTAATTCCAGCTAGCTAGTGTCAAAACCGAATGGATTTGTAGGACACTCAGTCTGTGTTGGAGGTTTGGAGAAGTGGTGTTGGAAAGGACACCACACATTTGGTTTCAGAAGTATTGCAAGTAAAAACAGTTCAGAGGTGCACAAAATTATTTGTTGGGTGGATGGGTGGAAACACAAACTATTATACTTCCCTGTGGTTTACTTTTATTACCAGCATATATTACCTTTTTAATTAAAAAATATGTTGGGACACCTGGGTGGCTGAGTCGGTTGAGTGTCTGCCTTTGGCTCAGGTCACGTTCCCAGGGTCCTAGAACGAGCCCCAAGTACCTGCTCCCTGCTCAACGGGGAGCCTGCTTCTCCCTCTGTCTCTGCCTGCCATTCCCCCCTCCTTGTATGTGTGCTCTCTGTCAAATAAATAAATAAGACCTTAAAACATAAATGTCAATAGATATCTGAAAGGAATTGTTTAAATTCACAGACCCCACAGGCAGAATAAGAGTATGTAAGGTAACATAGTGCACACCTGTGATGAGAAGCAACTTTTCATACTCAGTCTTATATTTTATCTGTTTCATTCTTAAATTAACTCATATAGTTGAAATGTATCTGTGTATAATTTTGCTATAGTACAATTTAAAATTGGTTCACTTTTATAAGTTAGAAAAAATTCTCAGAAGTATACCTTCTACTTTTGTTTTATAAACTGACTTACCTGTGGCACTTGAATTTCAAAGAGTAAACTGTGCAGAGAATGGTGGGGGGGGGGGGAAGGCCCAAATTTGAAGACAGCAACTTGCTCAGGCTGATTCAAGAAAGAGTAAGATGTGTTTTCAAAAAGTTTATTCTAAAAGTCATCAATATAAAGCAACATTTTATTTTATTTTGTTTTTTTTTTTAATTTTTTATTTATTTATTTGACAGACAGAGACACAGCGAGAGAGGGAACACAAGCAAGGGGAGTGGGAGAGGGAGAAGCAGGCTTCCCGTGGAGCAGGGAGCCTGATGGAGGGCTTGATCCCAGGACCCCGGGACCATGACCTGAACTGAAGGCAGATGCCTAACGACTGAGCCACCCAGGCGCCCCATAAAGCAACATTTTAAACAATATATTTTTACATATTACAAAAGCAGTACTTCTTCATTTTAGAGAAAACCAGAACTTGGTGACAAAAGGAAAGAAGATCATTTCAGTTCCACCACCTGAAAATCATCACTATTAACAGTGTCGCCAGTCTTTTAGATGATTTTCTCTGTGTGTAAACATATAGAGACCAGGTCATTTATTCGTCAATAAGAACATTTCATCGGGCGCCTAGGTGGCTCAGTTGTTAGGTGTCTGCCTTCAGCTCAGGTCATGATCCCAGGGTCCTGGGATCGAGGCCCGCATCCGGCTCTCTGCTCAGTGGGGAGCCTGCTTCTCCCTCTCCCACTACCCCTGCTTGTGTTCCTTCTCTCACTTTGTCTCTCTCTGGAAAAAAAAAAAAAATCTCATCACATCAACTGTTCTAAGTCGTTCATAACTATCGTCTTTCATGGACTGAATGTTCCCCTTGGTATTTAACCAAAAACCTGGTTGCTACACCTTTCCTTACATTTTTTGCTATCCAAACATTTGTGCTCAATGTTGTTTTATATTTTTAATTTATTATTAAACAACTTCATTTATAAAATCCTCCAAAAGTGATATTTTACTGATATTATAATTTCTTAGCTTCTTAAGAAACCAGAAAAGGGGGAGGAACCAACTGAGAAGCCAAAAGAAAGAGGAGAGGAAATGGATCTTGGAGATGGAAAACGGGAGCCCTGTGCTAGCTGTGCTGTCCTGAAGCCCACGCCCTTGGAGGGCTTGCTAGAGGAGCCCAGGGAAAAGTAAGCCCACGCTTTTGTTGCTTTGACCACATGAAGGATCACAGAAGTGGCGCGAGCCAAGCTACTCATGCTGTTTGACAAAGTCCAAGTATGGGGGACGATCCTGAAAACAGGAGACTCCACAGCTGGCTCCTGCTATTCTCTTTCATTTTGTTTATGGCAATCTGTATAATTGTGGGAATATTTCTGGGCTGGCTCCTGCTATTCTTTTTCATTTTATTTATGGCAGTCTTTATAATTGTGGGAATATTTCTGGGGTTTCATGATAAAGTGACTACTCACCTTAGTTATGCCTATCTAAGCAATCATAATGAAATTAATTCCATGAAGAATTAGTTTCTATAGAACAAAATAACAAAACGGTCACGCTCTGTCTAGCACCTTTCTCTTTGCGTACTGTTTTTTAGTTTTAGCGAAAGCCAATAAGCAGAAATCAATAAAGGTCATGTTAATCATTACAAAGGAAAAATGAAAGAAGGCTATGGCTGTAATCCAGAAAATGATCTAAGATTTGGAAAAACAAAAATATCCTAACATATAAATAAAGTTCCTCCGAGGCTGTCAGGAGGAGATGCTTGCAGCCTGATCCTGTGTCTGTGTCTCCTCATTCGCTGACGCCGTCCTTTCCTACGAGAGACCCACCCCAGCTGGAGCTAGACTCCGGCACAGAAGGATCTGTCAGTACTAGTTAGTGCTTGTATTTCATACTGCTGGTGGAAATCAGGGATTTTACCACGATATGCTTGCCCAAATCTTTATTTTCTCCTTGGTCATGCTAGGAACTTAGCTCCTTTCATCTGAATCCTCAAGTCTGTCTTCCAACCAGGGACATGTGCTTCTGCTGGTTCCTTAGCTATGCTTGTCCTGGCCTCTTCCTTTGGATTCCTGTTATCGCCCTTTAGGTCTTCAGGATCTCCTTCGCAGTCTCGTGTCCAAGTGCTAGGCTTCCTTTGTTGGCGTTATCCCTGTGGCCCTTCCGTGGAATTTGACCAGCAGCTGCGGATCCTGGTGTTCCACTAGCCCTGCCTGTTTCAGGCTAGGGGTCCTTGAGCATGTACTTCTCTGCCTGCTTGTGACATGCTGCTTATGAAAGGAGCTCAAGCAGGGCTTCTGTGGGAATGGAACAGACAAGGTCTCTCTGCACAGGGGCCAGAGAGACCCGCCAGAACCTTGTCAGGTGGGAGCCCCTCCCTCCTGCCCCTGAGCTTCGTCAAGGTTTGGTCATCTCCACACAGTCGGTGGGGAGTATCTAGGCTTCTTGTTCCCCTGGCCCAGGGCTCCTGCCCATGCACTGCATCAGGACACCCCTGGAGCTTCCTGGAGCCCGGGGCTGCTCTGCTTCTGAGGTGTCTGGAAGTGAATTTACGTTTGCAGGCAAGATGGCAGGGTCATGGGATTAGGCTGCCGTTTGCCCAGAAACAGCAATCTGAATGACTTCTTACTGTCTTTCTTCCACACAGAGTTGTGATTTAAAAAAAAAAAAAAAAGGGACACCTGGGTGGCTCAGTTGGTTAAGCGACTGCCTTCCGCTCAGGTCATGATCCTGGAGTCCCAGGATCGAGTCCCACATCGGGCTCCCTGCTCGGCGGGGAGTCTGCTTCTCCCTCTGACCCTCCTCCCGCTCATGCTCTCTCTATCTCATTCTATCTCTCTCAAATAAATAAATAAAATCTTAAAAAAAAAAAAAAGTTTCCCTCTTTTTTGGGGTTCTGGTTTATTGGTTTGTTTATAAAATTAATTTATGCATGATTATGAAATCTGTGATCTGTTAGCACTGTGGTTTCTGTTAGAGGTATTTGTATTATTGCTTATGATACGACAGTGCCTTTTGTCATGTTTCTGGCATGAATTCACACTTTGCTTATAGATCTTTTTCTCCCCACCAATCCTGCTGCTTCTGTTTTGTGGGGAAACCACAGACAGCATGTGAGGACTTTTACATGTGGGTTGTGAAGGAAAAGACTTTTAAGAACCAAAGGAGCTAAGCAGCCACGTATTTATTTATTACGCATTTATCAGTTTAATACATGTAGGAACATTATACAAATAAAAATTATACAATAAAAATTTCAATTAATTTTAGCTACACTTGAAGCAGAAACTAAGCCATCAGTATCAGCTCTGTGTCATGATGGACATGGACCTGGGCCACTAGGAAAGTCACATGAGCACTTTGGTCTCCTGTACTTTATCTGTAAAGGGGGGAGTTATATTTGCTTTGGGGGGTTACTGAGAATTAGAAAACTAAGTATATATGCTTATTATGTATGTCATTCAGGTTTAACATTAGATACTGTCGTTACTGTTGTCGATTCATCTTTCAACAATTTTTTCTTGAATGCCTGTGCTGTGCCCATTACGTGCATGCCTGCAGTGCGCTGATGAGCAGACTTAGGTATTCCCTGCATCTTCTGGAACTTGCAGTCTGGATGGGAAGATAGGTACTCGACAAGCAGTATACCTAAGGTTACTGAGAATTTGTACTGAATCACAGGTCGCAGAATGACATTGATAAAGAGAAAAGGGAGATGGAGAGAAGATTTCGAGAAAAAGAGCCTGAAACACAAAGATGCCACATGGATGACAGCAGAAAGCACAGAGCTCATTGTGAGTGTGACAAGTTTTCAAGGAGAAAAGAAGAGCTGAAATGGGGGAAAGGAGTCCCCTCAGACAGAGGGAAGAAGGGGAGCCAGGACAGTGGCATCCCTGTGGAGGCAGCAGAGTGGCCTGGGAGCACAGGAGTGAAGGTGGCCCAGCACCCAAAGCGGAGCGCCCAGGAAACAAGGTTCTTCTATTCATTCATTCATCAACCCTGAAAGTATAAACTACACCTCTGCAGGCTTATACCTGCTTTGCCAAACAGAAGTTACTTTGTTTAGCCAAAACAGAGAAATCTACATTGGGTGTCTTGATATTTCGGATCACACACTCTGACAGTGGGAAGTCCACCCCCACTGGTCCTGCACTCTTAGGGAGGCACCGCCCGAGAGCTTGCATTTCATGATACTCTGTGGAGCTTTCTCTTACATTACCAGTAACATACTGATTATTAGGAGATAGTCAAATGGCTCATAAATAACCTGTCAGATCTGCACAGTCGACACAGGGTTGGAATTGCCCATTTAGACCAAAAAAAAAAAATGGCTTTTTTTTTTTTCCCCAAGAGTTTGATGTTAATTTTTATTCAGATCACTGTGTTGCGGAGAAGCAGTATTAATGGGGTCCTGTCCCTTCCAGGGCCAGGCCCCGGCCCCATGGTGCCAGCCAGCCCCCCACCGCCCGGCCACCCGATGACCGAGGGGACCAAGGCTCCCCGGGCTGCAGTCCACACCGTCCTGCCACCCCATCCCTGACCTCAGCAGACACACTGTCCTCTGTCTGCTTGATTTTGTCATTTCAGGGGTGCTTTAGAAGTGGAAGCACACAGTGTGTGACCCGAGATTGGCTTTCTCACTCAGCAGAATTCCCTTCAGATCCACCCAAGGTGTTGCTGGTATCAGTGATGTGAATTTTTAAAATGTTTCCAGTAAAGGCAAGGCAGAGCTACCGGCAAGAGGGAAGCCTTCTTATCTGTAGCCTTGACTAACCACATCTGTGTTATTCAGAGGTTTCTATAGTTACCTTAACCTCAGGTACAGCAGGCACAGCCATGGGTTTTCTTGGTGGGGGTTGTTTCATGAACACTTGTGTTTCAGCTGCCTTTTGATGTAGCGACAGTGAGTGATGTGTATTTACACAGCTTTAGGTGTTGGGACTCCTCTCAATTAACTGTGACGCTCTGGGGGTAGTAAGGTGCCTTGTGCGTAACGGCACCTTTTGTATGAGGCCTGGCTGGTTACAGTGTCCTTACACCGTCTGTACACACCAGTGTTGCCCTGGTGAAAAGCAGGACCGTGAGTGTTGGCCTCAGGCAGGAAGTGGCATGGGAGCCCTGCACCCCTGTGTGCACAGGGATTCAGACCCACAGTGCCTGCCCAGCCCTTTCCCACTCTCTTCACTGGCCAGGCTTCCGCTAAGGAAGAGGGCATGCCAATAAATGCCCTGGTGGTGACTGTGGGGCCTGGGAGTGGGTAAAGGTGAGTTGGTGAGTCCTGCAGAAACATACCATGCGGGATGTGCCAGGGCCCCCAGGTGGCCAAGGAAGGGGTGCAGGTGCAGGAGGCTCCCCTGAGCCAGGGGTTGGTTGGTCCCCCTCTCCTTCAGGGCAGAGCTGGCTGGCTTCCCACTGTTGCTCCTGGTCCTTAACCTTCAGAATCCCTTGGTCCTTCACTGGCCTCACCATCCTAGTGTCCTTAAGCAGTTCAGTAGTAGTTTACACACTTTATTCAAGCATTGTTGCGTTCTTCCACCTCTGAGAGTTTAATCAGATGAAGGGGACAGGTCAGGAATAACCCACATGGAAAGTGCTCATTACACATCTTATTAGCTATTTGGTTCATGACCCTGAAAAGCCACCTCTGAGGGGCTATGCCTTGCTTTGTCTTAGGCTGCATGTTTACCCTACCTGGTGAGTTGGAGGGGCTGAGATGTGTGTATAAGTCTTCATCTCTCCACCTGGGAGGGGAATGCCCTGGTTCTGCTGGCTCTGGGGGTGTTCTGGGTTTGAGCGTAACATTTTCCCAGATACTAATTTTACCTTCTTTCAAGTTATTTTAAATGTTAACTGTCTTCCTTTTCATGGCTTTTTTTTTTGGCCTCAAAATGCCTGGTTTCTGTGATAGTGCTGAAAAGGGCAGATTTTTAGCTGTAAGACTAATTTGCTTTAGATAATGAGGATCATCAGACTCTGGAAGTAGAGACTTTTGCTCCCTCCTGTATTGCCAGCCTTTGGAAGGGTAACCCACCCCTCTGTCCCGGCAGGATCAGCCGGTCTTGCAGCTGTACCAGCCAGGAGCTCGCATCCGAGCTCGAGAAACTGCCGGGGGGATCTCTGTGGAGGGCCGTGATGGAAGCAGGGGTGAGGCTGAAGATTCAGGACGGTCCGGTTCCCAGCAGAGTGCAGAGGCAGGGTGAGTCAGCGTGCACGTTTGATGGAAAGCTCCCATTCAGCATTTTGTGGGTTAGAGAGGGTGTTCCAGAAATGTATCAATTAGCCTAGAGTATAACCTGCAAGGTGCATTTACTCCTTTTAAAGAAATCAGAAACTAGAAATATACGTGTGTCATAGAAACATCTAGAAACCATTCTTAAGAAGCAGCCTGTTAAAAAATTGAAAAGTTGTCATAGATTTTACTGTTTTTAGTATGAACTAGTATATACTGTTTAGCCAAAACAGAACAAGTAACCTCTTTGAAAAGTAGAAACATATGATTAAAACAGGGAAGAAAATTAGTATTATACCAGTGTGGACTCTGAAGCACTTTGAGACATGTTGTAGGAATAACCTGTACTTTGAGTCCTACACATGTGTGAGTAAGTGATCTTTCGGGATTCGGATCACGCGCGTGTATGAGCTGTAGTTTAAAAGAGGGAAGGGAGCAGCTCTCACACCATTATAAGCTGGTGATCCAGACACCTGTGCTCTCGTGAGCATTCTGACGTCTCTGTGCTGCAGCTGCTAGGACGGGAGACTTACCACTGTGGGAAGTTCTACAGCTTTAAGTATTGCCCCTTCAGCAGTTGGCCACTGACTTTTTTCCCAGTCTTTTGATGGATGCGCTGCTCATGGTGTATAACCACTGTTATGTAAGGGCTGCAGAGATAACATAAGGGCATCATTTGGGGACAGGGATAACAGGTACAGCATCGGGGGTTTTCCTTTTTGCATTCTGAGGCGGTTTTATTTTTCAAGGACTTAATGGAGCATTCTGTAATTATGCATTCACAGTATTTTTTAATGTTAGTGAAATTGTTAAACATTAATGTATTTTTGGCACTATGCTTTGGACCACATATTAAATAATTTTAGTTGCTGTGGATTTGAAGTCCAGGTTACGGTACTTTTCCTATATCAAATTTTACATAATAAAATATTGCTTTTCAAAATGTAGCTTTAATTACCTGAGTATTTTATTGATTATTCCTTACTAAATATGAAATGTTTATCAAAAAAACTGTGAATTTGGGGCACCTGGGTGGCTCATTCAGTTAAGTGTCCTGTCTGCTCAGATCATGATCTTGGGGTCCTGGTATTGAGCCCCACATCGGGCTCCCTGGTCAGCGGGGAGGCTCTCTGTCCTCCCACCCTGCCTGTGCTCTCTCTCCCTATCTCTGTCTCTCTCGGGAGGGGGCAAGATGGCAGAAGAGTAGGGGACTCTGATTCAACCAGTCCGCTGAATTTTAGCTGGATATCTACCAGACCATTCTGAACAGCCACGAAATCAGCCTGAGATGTAGGAATATATATATCTGGATCTCCACGAGCACGGTTTCGAGGGTGCATCTTGCTTGGATTGTGGTTGATATTTAGGACTCTGTACTTGTATTCCCTCAACCACCCCTCAACAGAATGACTAGGAGGAGGAACTCCCAACAAAGAAAAGAACCTATCTCTCTCTCTCTCAAATAAATAAATAAAATCTTTAAAAAAGAAAAAACAAACCTGAGAATTACTCATTTATCATTAAAGATGTTTGACTGTTGGACATATAGTCCGCCCATGGCATTGCTGTGCTCTTGCTCTTGACTCTGGAACTCCAAGAATTTGGCAGGGGAGGGGTGAGAAGGACTTGCTGTGATTTAGCGAGGTCCATGTGACCCAGCACAGCCAGACCTGATGGAAAAGGGGTAGGTAGTAACTATTTTAGACTTTGCAGACTCTCTGGTCTCTGTTACAACTTGTGAACTGTGCCATTAGGCAATACATAATGAATGGGCAGGGCTGTGTTCCAATCAAATTTTATTTATAAAAACATGCAGCAGGCCATATTTGGCCTGTGGACCGTAGTTTGCTGACTCCTACTTAGATCAGACTGGATCTCACTGTGTTCTCACTGCTCATTTGGGCTTTGACTGAGATGACTGAAGACTCGAACATAATACCTGAAACCATAAAATTCCTAGAAGGAAACAGAGGATTCGATCCTTGTCACCAGTCTTGGTGATAATTTTTTGTATATGACATGAAAAGGAAAGGCAATAAAAGTAAAAATAAACAAATGAAACTACATTGGACTAAAAAGTTTCACACGAAGGGAACCCATTTGAAAAATGAAAAGGCAGCGTATGGAAAGAAAAAAATATCTTCACACAGCATACCTAATAAGGGGTTAATATCCAAAATATGTGAGGAACTCATACAACCCAACAGCAAAAAAACCCAAATTACCCAATAAAAAAAGGGGGCAAAAGACCCGAATAGACATTTTTCCACAGTGGACATCACAGATGGCTAACAGGTACATGAAAAGGTGCTCAACACCGCTGCTATCAGAGAAATACAAATCAAAACCCCAAGGAGATACCACCTCACACCTGTCAGAGTGGTTGAAATCAGAAAGACGAGAGCAAGTCTTGGCAAGGATGTGAAGGAGGAGAACCCTTGTGCATCGTGGGTGGGCATGCCAAGCGGTAGAGCCACTATGGAAGGCCAGTGTGGCAGTTCCTCAAGAAATTGAAAGTAGAGCTACCGTATGACCCAGCAGTGCCGCTGTGGGCATAGGTCCAAAGGGAGCGGAATCGTCTGTTCACATGTTCGTCCCAGCATTATTCACAGTGGCCACGGTATGGAAACAACCTTAGTGTCCACGGTGGAGGGTGTTTATGCAGCCTCATGAAAGGAAACCCTGCCATTTTCAACAACGTGGATGAACTTGGAGGACATTGTGCTAAGTGAAGTAAGCCAGACAAAAAAAGACGAATACTGTATATGTACAGTGTGGGAAAAAAAATCAAACTCCTAGAAACAGAGTAAAATGGTGGCCGCTAGGACTAGGGTGTGAGGGAAATAGGGAGAGGTTAGTGAAAGTCACAGGTTATTCAGTTAAAAGATTAAGGTCAAGGATCTTATGTATAAGGTAGTGACTGTAGGTGATAACATTGTATCGTATAATTGGAATTTGCTAAGAGAGAATTTTCTCAGCCCCCAAAAAAGTAAATGTGTGAGGTGATGCTGTAACACAGTGTGAATCCTTTCATAATGTATACATTTTATAAGTCAGTATGTTGTACACTTTCAATGTTAAAATTTGTCAGGTATACCTCAGTAAAGCTAGAAAATAACTAAGTAGAAGGTAGTTACACCCTTTGAAAGGTTCCTGAGATCTGCCCCCAGGGCTTTCCAGAAGTCACTTCGAGATTACTGATTTAAAATAATAATACATTGTATAATGGGTTACCTTGGTATAAAACACTTCCATATACACTTCCCAGTTTCGACTTAGACTCATTTGTAAGATTGGTTGGGCAGGACGTACATGATCTCCCTTTTATAAAACTAGGAAGCAGGTTTAGAGATGTCTAGCACCTGTTGCTGGCAAAGTCAAGCTGCTTTCATATTTGTAAAGTTTTTATTACTAATTAGCCAGAAAAAAAGGTTTCTGAGATTATCACATGTCTAAGAAATGGTAGAAATGTTAGGAAAGAATATTATTCACATGGACGTACCCCTTGGGAGTTGCAGTCCACATCTCAGGGAGGGACTGCAGTGCCCAGTGTGACCGAGGGGTGGCGTGGGGCTGGCCACCTGTTGGATTGCCTTCTATATTTGCTTTGCAAAACTTTCTTTTTTGTTAAAGATTTTATTTATTTATTTGACAGAGAGAGACAGCGAGAGAGGGAACACAAGCAGGGGGAGTGGGAGAGGGAGAAGCAGGCCTCCCGCAAGCAGGGAGCCGGATGTGAGGCTCGATCCCAGGACCCTGGGATCATGACCTGAGCCCGAGGCAGACGCTTAACTAACCCTAACTGAGCCACCCAGGCGCCCCCCGACCTTTTTTTTTTTTCCTATTGTTTCTCATTTTAGATCCCAGTCAGGTTTTATTCAGCTATCTAATAATTTTAATAATTATATTTAAACGTGAACATAGCAAAGCAGAACATTAACTATCAGTATTCTAATGGATCTCAGTCTTGCTAGTAAATTATAAACACCAGCTGACTGAAGTAATTCCTCAAATCTGACATGAAATAGGCACTTTGAAGAATCTCATTTACATCTTTGGAAACAAGTTTTCACGTGCTTGATTATAGTGCTTACCGAGTGATCGTCTGCCATTTCATGAGTCAAATGACAGTGAGACCCTTGGGAGAAGGTGAGGCAGCTCATGGGGCAACAGGTTCTCTGACCAGATCTCCACAAGGACAGAAGGGTGTGTGGCTGTGGCCTGGCGGCCCCTTTGACCACAGTCCTTCTGCATATGTAGAGGACCTGGATAGTGAAGAGCGTGAGCTTCTTCACATCACACCATGAGAAATGATCTTTTATGTTTGCCTCTGTCATGGAATTCTCATTTGTATCTGTCTTCTAAACTCTGATGAAAAGAGAGATAATTATCTCCACTTTAAGTAGATTTGTTTTCTATTCTCTTCTTCCTATCTTTAAAATTAAGGACATGTCAGAGATTAAAGTGGAGAATTAAGTAGGTATTTGATCTATTTGATCTGTGTTAATAGCAAAAGAGAAATGAGAGAAAATCAGTTTATTTTCAGAACAGTATTCAGAGTCAAGAGGATTTTTTTAAGCAAATTAGCCTACTTAAATCCACCAGTTAATTGCTTCAACCCAGTCCCAGCTATAGCAAGGTCTAATGATAGTAATTGTCATATGAAAATTCAGTTTTAAATCTTTATTTTTAAAATTTTGTCACTTCAGTGAAGTTTAGAAAAATGCTGTCTTCTCTGTGTGAGCTTCTGTTGGGGCTGCATTTTGGTGGAAAGCTAATAGCTTCTTGTAAGTGCTCCTCCTCATCTTTGTATCAAAAGCATGTTTATCGTGTAATGTTTTAAATTTCTCCCAAAATTCTTCATTGTTACACATCTAAAGGAAAAGATAATTACATTAATAACTTTGTATCACAAAGCAATAAAAGATGTCTGTCCCATAGAGAAATGGCATTTTTCAACAATAATAGCATTTTTAGTAGAACAATTTAAATTATTGTCATGGTAGAAATTACTGTCATGTCAAGGTGCCAAACTGAGAGCTTTGTGCCTACATGTAATTACCCGGTTACACTCGCATAAAGTAGCCATTTCCTACATCACTGGGACCATACTTTTCTGAACCAAAAAGTAGAGCAACTGATTTGACACTCTGGGGTGTGAGGGGCAATGTAGGAGATGTTTGGGTACCAGACTGTGAGGGGCAATGTAGGAGATGTTTGGGTACCAGACTGTGAGGGGCAATGTAGGAGATGTTTGGGTACCAAACTGTTGGCATTTCTTGGATGTCTTCACAGATGGTAGAAACCATGATATTCAGACTCAAGCCTTCTATGAACTGAACTTTGTCCCCACAGAGTTCACATGTTGAAGCCCTAACCCTACCCCCGCACCCCCACCCGTGTGGCTGTATCTGGAACGAAGAAGTAATCAATGTTAAATGGGGTCATAAGGATGGGGCTCCGTTCTGATAGGATTAGTGTTCTTGTAAGAGGAGATACCAGAAGGTGCCCGTCTGCAAGCCAGGGAGTCCTGGCACCTTGATCTTGGACTTCCAACTTCTAGAACTGTGAGAAATAAGTATCTGTGTCTGAAGCTGCCCATCTGTGGTATTTTGTTAATGGTGGTGGAGCTGACTGAGACAGGCCTGTCCCAGGAAACCCGAGGATTGAGAAGGAACCTAGTGGTGGCTCCCCTCTCCTGGATCATCCCAACAAGATTTGGTCATTCCTGTGTTATAAAGAAATTCCTCAGGCAAAATTGCCACATCAAAACATAAAATGGAAATATCCTCACAGCCAGCATTTGAACTCCTAACACTACATCCTACAGACGGTAAGCACACCAGCTGTCCCTACCTACGCCCTGCCGTAAGAGGAGAAATGGGAGATGGCTGGCTGGCAGAATAATGACGCTGAAATGTCCACAATGTGTCACAAAGTTAGAAGTGCATGATGTGCTATAGTAGTTTAAACACATTGGATGTTTGTATGTGCTGGAAAATGTCTGAAAAGATGTGTACCAATGTGGAAGTATAGGGTCGGTTAATCTACCACAAAGGAAGCAAGAATACTCAGTGGGGAAAAGATGATCTCCCCAATGAATGGTGCTGGGTTCTGGACAGCTGCAGGCAGAAAAATGAAACCGGACCACTTTCTTACACCACACACAGAAATAAACTCCAAATGGATTAAAGACCTAACTGTGAGACCTGAAACCATAAAACTCCTCTAAAACATAGGCAGTAATCTCGTAGAAATCAGCTTTAGCAACGTATTTGTGGATGCGTCTCCTCAGGCAAGGGAAACAGAAGCAAAAATAAACTCTTGGGATTACACCAAAATGAAAAGCTTCTGCACAGCAAAGGAAACCACCAACAAAACAAAAAGGCAACCTACAGAACAGGAGAAGATACTTGGCAAATGACATATCTGATGAGGGGTTAATATCCAAAATACATAAAGAATTATATAAACAGTTCTGAAAAAAACCAAACAATTTCATTAATAATTGGTCAGAAGACCTGAGGAGACATTTTCCCAAAGATACAGATGGTCAAAAGATACTTGAAAAGGGGACACCTGGGTGGCTCAGTTGGTTAAGCGTCTGCCTTTGGCTTGGGTCGTGATCCCAGGGTCCTGGGATCGAGCCCCACGTTGTGGTCCCTGCTTAGCGGGGAGCGTTTCTCCCTCTGCCTCTGCTGCTCCCCCTGCTGGTGCTCTCTCTCTGACAAATAAAATCTTTAAAAGAAAATACATGAAGGGGCGCCTGGGTGGCTCAGTCGTTAAGCATCTGCCTTTGGCTCGGGTCGTGATCCCGGGGTCCTGGGGTTGAGCTGCGCATCGGGCTCCCTGCTCCGCGGGGAGTCTGCTTCTCCCTCTCCCACTCCCCCTGCTTGTGTTCCCTCTCTCGATGTGTCTCTGTCAAATAAATAAAATCTTAAAAAAAAAAAAAAATACATGAAAAGATGCACAACCTCACCAATCATCAGGGAGATGCAAATTAAGACCTCAATGAGAGATCACCTCATCCTATTCAGAATGGCTAGAATCAAAAAGACGAGATAACAAGTGTTGGAGAGGATGTGGAGAAGAGGGGACCCTCGTGTACCATTGGTGGGAGTGTAAATTGGTGCAGCCACTATGGAATATGGTACAGAAGTCCCTGAAAAAATAAAAAATGGAAATGCCATATGATTCAGTAATTCCACTGCTGGTTATTTTACCAAAGAAGACGAAAACACTAATTTGAAAAGATACATGTACCCCTGTGTTTATTGTAGCATTATTTACAATAGCCAGGATATGGAAGCAGCTCAAGTGTCCATCCATGAATGGATAAAGATGTGATGTAGGGGCGCCTGGGTGGCTCAGTCATTAAGTGTCTGCCTTCGGCTCAGGTCATGATCCCAGGGTCCTGGGATCGAGCACCACATCGGGCTCCCTGCTTGGTGGGAAGCCTGCTTCTCCCTCTCCCACTCCCCCTGCTTGTGTTCCCTCTCTCGCTGTGTCTCTATCTGCCAAATAAATAAAATCTTAAAAAAAAAAAAAAAGATGTGATACACAGGCGCACACACACACACACACACACGCACATGATGGAATATTACTCAGGCACCAAAATGGAATGAGATCTTGCCATTTGCAACAGCATGGATGGACCTCGAGGGTATTATGCTAAGTGAAATAAGTCAGAGAAAAAGCAAATGATTTCACTTATATGTACAGTCTAAAAAAACAAAACAAACAGAAACAGACTCCTAAGTACAGAGAACAAACCAGTGGTCGCCAGAGGGGAGAGGGGGCTGGGGGGCTGGGCAAAATGGGTGAAGGAGGTTAAGAAGTACAAATACAAAAATACTCAAACTTTTAGGAAAAATACAGGAAATATACCACAATTTAATAGTAATTGCAGGTAGGATTAAGATGATTTTTAGTTGTTTTCTAATTTTTAAATAATGATTATGTACAAAAATAGATTTTCATTGCTTCTCATTCCAAATGAATTCAAAACTTATTACCAAATATATACAAATACCTGAAATAATATATGTAAAATGAGGAATTTGAAAACTAATTCTTTCCCTCGGGGTCTTTGTTAAATTGCCAAGTTTCTCATTGAAGGACACTGGTGAAACCACCATTTAGGGATTTCCATGCAATTTCTTTTTCTGTTTTTAGTTCAAGTAGAAACTATATTAGTATTGTTTTTTAACATTTTTTTCAATATGTGTGTTAACACCATTAACCTTGACATGCAGCATGATCTATTCCTTTTGCTAGAATAGGTTTGCCTATGACACTTGCTGACCTTCTGTTTTACAAATAACCACTTTATCATTTTCTCTGTTGTGCTACTTTTTCCTCTTGAGCAGTAACTTAACCAGTTTCTTAGGCTGTAAGTAAAACATATTTTATCATTGCCCAGATCCAGTGTTCGTCATCATATGAAGTTAAAGTTTTCTAAATCATGCCCTTTTTCTTTGAAATTCTGTGTAATATTTATCAGTAAAAAATACACCTATGTATTTTTTAAGGCCTTACCTTTTGGGATTTTTTTTGCAGGTTTTCAACAGCTGTCCAGTATCATCCAAATCAAGAAAAGAGAAGATCTGTAGGACTATGTTGTCAGGCATGCCAACTAACAAATCAAATTTTCCCTGACAGAAATTCAAAGAATAATCCAATACTTCTTTCCCAAACACTTTCCACATCTGACCTAAATATCAGTGAGAGAGACAGACAGACCAGGTTATGACAGGCCAACTCGATCCCACTCACTCTCAAAAGAAGTCACTTGATTTTAAAAGTTCCTGGGCTTCTTCACAAAGGGAATAAAGCCATATTCCCATTGAAGAGATGGTCACATTAAGGAATTCCAACTTTGCTTCATTGAATTGATAGACTGTCACCGTTACGACATTCTTCACGTTTAGTCTGACAGCAGCTCTTTGAAGAGGCAGTTTTATCACTCTGGGACGTGTATTCATTCATTCATCACATCTGCACTGAACGCCTGTGTGGGAAGGTGGCACTTTTGTAGGCGTCCAGCCTACAGCAGTGAGCAAAGTAGACTGCCCCTGACTTCCCAGGGCTCACACCCTTCCTTAAACACACAAGGAGCAGAAACCCCAAAAAGGCAGGGTCTTTCTCAAGTCTTCCAGGTCATAAATGGCAGAACCGGATCCCCTAGATCCATCAGGAACTCTTCACCTGAAATCCACGTTGAGTGGCCATCCACGGGCTCCCTAGCTTAGTCTCACCATGCTAGCTATAAGCAGGTCATACAGTTTTTTCTTCTGTGGACTGGTCTGTAGTCTCTGTTAAGCTTTTGCCAGATCCTCAAAGGAACAACTTTTTAAAAAATTTAAGTCTCCTCCATTAGGCTATCCGTAATCCAGGACTAACCTGTTTTCACAGTCATCTTGTCATAAACATAACATGGAGAGATTCAGTATTCCAGGCAAAAACTGTCACCTAAAGTAACAGACGCTTGATATATATTCTGTTTCCACTGCCAAGGAGCCCTGTGATCCCTGAATATCACCTGCTTTCTTGTGAACAGAATCCCTGGCAGCCTGCCCCCGTTTGATCAGTGCCGCCCCAGACACAGCCAGTCTGCCTCGGGCCTGTGGGGTTGGCTGTCCCTGGTCAGTGCAGAGAGGCGACAGGGCAGACCCACTCTGTCCTGTGTGTGGCCACGGAGGCCCAAGGGAGTCAAACCCCAGGCTCCTGAGTGCAGTGGTAGAACCGCGGGACCGGCTCACCCTTGTAGCCCACCCCCTGCGGACTCCTATTCGGTGAAGGGGTGTTCCTTGTTGTTGAAGCCGTTTGAGTGACTGTGTCTATTACTTGCTGTCAAATCTGATCCTGATGGACAGGTTTGGTTTTGTGTGACTGTGTGGGAAAGCTTTCACCCCGAGGAAACCCACTGCTT